GGAAGGGCAATGGCTATAAGAAGATTGCAAAGATGTTAAACATACCAAGAGACACCTTAGGAAGCATCATTCGCAAATTCAAGGCAAAGGGCACTGTTGAAACGCTACCTGGTCGTGGCAGAAAGAAGATGCTGACTTCGACTGCTGTGCGCTACCTGAAGCGTAGAGTGGAGAGAAGTCCCCGTGTGACTGCTGAGGAACTGAGAAAAGATTTGTCAGATGTGGGTACAGAAGTTTCAGCCCAGACAATAAGACGCACACTGCGTAATGAAGGCCTCCGTGCCAGAACTCCCAGGCGTACCCCCTTGCTGTCTCCAAAGAATAAGAAGAGTCGACTGCAGTATGCCAAAAGCCATGTGGACAAACCACAAAAGTTGTGGGATAGTGTTCTGTGGACTGATGAAACAAAATTAGAACTGTTTGGGCCCATGGATCAACGCTATGTTTGGAGGAGGAAGAACAAGGCCTATGATGAAAAGAACACCTTGCCTACTGTGAAGCATGGTGGAGGGTCAATCATGCTTTGGGGCTGTTTTGCTTCTGCAGGTACAGGGAAGCTTCAGCGTGTGCAAGGTACCATGAATTCTCTTCAGTACCAGGAGATATTGGATGGAAACGTGATGCAGTCCGTCACACACCTGAGGCTTGGGAGACGTTGGACCTTTCAACAGGACAATGATCCCAAGCATACCTCCAAGTCCACTAGAGCATGGTTGCAGAGGAAAGGCTGGAACATTTTGGAGTGGCCATCGCAGTCACCAGACTTAAATCCGATTGAGAACCTCTGGTGGGACTTAAAGAAAGCAGTTGCAGTGCGCAAGCCTAAGAATGTGACTGAACTGGAGGCCTTTGCCCATGAAGAATGGGCGAAGATACCCGTAGATCGCTGCAAGACACTTGTGTCAAGCTATGCTTCACGTTTAAAAGCTGTTATAACTGTAAAAGGATGCTGTACTAAGTACTAAGATTGAATGTCACTTGGGGGTTGAATAAAAACTGATAATGCTGTGAGCACAGAAAAGACATTTGTGGTTATTTCATTATAACTGTTATGTTATATTTGTCTGACCTACAAGTGCCTCTTTAATGTAAATGTAAGCAAGATGACTGAATGATCAAAAGCAATGTCAAACTGGCCAAAACACTCAATTTCAGTGGGGGTTGAATAATTTTGGACACAACTGTAGAGACGGTTGTGACATGTTATGATGACATGTTAAGGGCAGTGGCTGTAATCGCACCGCACGCAAATCGCATGTGGTTTGTATGGGATGTGGTGCGGTTCCTGTGCGAATCACATGCAAAATTATACCAAGGGGCAGACTGACCATTTGGAAACTCGGGCACTGATCGAGGGCCTGGGGTCTGTAGGGGGCCCCATGAGATGCCCCTGGTACCTTTTTCATAGGCTTTTTTGAGTTTGGGCAAGGACACAGGGGCCCCATGATCCCCTATTACCCGAGGGCCCCATGAGTTGTCAGTCCGCCCCTGGTTATACCGCAACGCATATGTGTGAACCCGGCTAAGGGTAAGGGGAGATTCGCACCAGGTCGGTTCATATCACCACATTCCATGGTGTGTGCTGAAGTACGGCAGGTTGCAGAGGCGTCCCTAGGGTTGGTGTCACCGGTGCGATAACACTTGGTGACACCCCCTCCGACGATCCCCGCAGAATTGATCGGATCTGCGGATTGAGCATAATGGATCAGACTCCGATCCATTATGTTCAATCCACAAATGCAATCCATCCTGCGGGGATTGTCGACTTTCTTTACAACTTACCTTTTCTTGGAGCGGGTCCGGTGTCACCCTATATAGGTTGCATGCTGATGATCCCCGCAGGATGGATCGGATCTGAGATTGAGCATAATGGATCGGAGTCTGAGCCATTATGCTCCCCAGTCCGCAGATCCGATCCATCCTGCGGGGATCGTCGGCTTTCTTTACAACTTACCTTTTCTTGGAGCGGGTCCGGTGTCACCCTATATAGGTTGCATGCTGATGATCCCCGCAGGATGGATCAGATCTGCGGATTGAGCATAATGGATCGGATTCTGATCCATTATGCTCCCCAGTCCGCAGATCCCATCCATCCTGCGGGGATCATCAGTATGCAACCTATACGGAGTGACACCGGACCCGCTCCAAGAAAAGGTAAGTTGTAAAGAAAGCCGACGATCCCGCAGGATGGATCGGATCTGCGGATTGAGCATAATGGGTCGCAGTCTGATCCGTTATGCTCCCCAATTTGCAGATCCCATCCATCCTGCGGGGATCGTCGGCATGCAACCTATACGGGGTGACACCGGACCCGTTTCAAGAAAAGGTAAGTTGTAAAGAAAGCCGACGATCCCGCAGGATGGATCGGATCTGCGGATTGAGCATAATGGATCGCACTCCGATCCATTATGCTCAATACGCAGATCCGATCCATCCTGCGGGGATCGTCGGCTTTCTTTACAACTTACCTTTTCGTGGAGCGGGTCCGGTGTCACCCCATGCGGCCGGTGTCACCCGGTGTGGGCCGCACCCCCCCGCACCTGCCTCGGGACGCCACTGGCAGGTTGTACCGCTTCACACTGCATGACAACCAGTAGAAGTTAATTAAATGTCACTGTGTGACATTTCAATAAAGTTCATTTAAAATAAAAAGTTGGCGCATCAGCACTGCTGTGATCCCGCCGCACGCCAGCTTTGTCGATGTGAATGTACCCTAAGAATTGCGAAGCACATTTTTGCTGGTTTAGGCCAGAATCGCACAGGGGCGTGGTCTGCGTTCCTGAGTGATACCTCCGCCATTCAGCGCGATGCGATTTTCAGCCTCATTCATTTGAATGGGCTGCAGTTGCACCGAATTGCACCAAAAGTAGCGCATGCACTACTGTTAAAAACGCACCGCAACTGGATCGCAGGGTACTGCGGTTCAATGTGATCCGGTGCAGAGATCTGCGTTTGGGGGGTTGTTAGGAATCTATTAACACCAGGTGATTGATTGCTCACCCAGTGCATTTTGAACGCAATGCGGGAAACGCACGCAGATCGCGTCCCGGTGTGAACGGGCACTTATAGTGATTGAAAACACTTTTTTTAAATGTTTTCAAGGCAAAAAAAAAGTTACTGTGTGGTAACCATAACCGCACTGCACGGGTTAACGGCTCGATTTTGTCTTGGAGAGAGGAGAAAAGAGATATACTTACCTAATCCTCCAATCCTCGCAGCACAAGACCGGACCGGCACCCCCGCGATGCAGCAGACTTGAGTTGTTGACTGTTGCCGACATCACCAAGCCCAGAGCATGGTCCATAGACAGGAGCAGTCCACTGCTGGACGGCGGGGGAGGTGGGTTTGGGAGCGACGCTTTCAGGTGGATCGAAGGATCGGGTAAGTATAAACTTTCTAATTTGGGGGGATTTGTACTGTCCTGACATTTGGGGGGATTTGTATTCTCCTGACATTTGGGGGGATTTGTACTGTCCTGACATTTGGGGGGATTTGTATTCTCCTGACATTTGGGGGTATTTGTACTGTCCTGACATTTGGGGGGGATTTGTACTGTCCTGACATTTGGGGGAATTTGTACTGTCCTGACATTTGGGGGGATTTGTACTGTCCTGACATTTGGGGGGATTTGTACTGTCCTGACATTTGGAGGGGATCTGTACTCTCCTGACATTTGGGGGGATTTGTACTGTCCTGACATTTGGGGGGGATTTGTACTGTCCTGACATTTGGGGGGATTTGTACTGTCCTGACATTTGGGGGGGATTTGTATTCTCCTGACATTTTGGGGGGATTTGTACTGTCCTGAAATTTGGGGGGATTTGTACTGTCCTGACATTTGGGGGGATTTGTACTCTCCTGACATTTGGGGGGATTTGTACCGTCCTGACATTTGGGGGGATTTGTACTGTCCTGACATTTGGGGGGATTTGTACTCTCCTGACATTTGGGGGGATTTGTACTCTCCTGACATTTGTTGTGATATTTGTACTATCCTGGATTTTTTTGGGGGGGGATTTGTACTTGACATTTGTGGGGGACTTGTACTGTCCTGACATTTGGGGGGGGGGGATTTGTACTGTCCTGACATTTGGGGGGGGTACTTGTCCTGGCATTTGTTGTGATATTTGTACCATCCTGGATTTTTTTTCGGGGGGATTTGTACTTTCCTGACATTTGGGGGGGGGTTTGGTACTGTCTTGACATTTGGGGGGGGGGGGGATTTGTACTGTCCTGATATTTGGGGGGGGAGTTAATACTATCTTGAATTTGGGGGGAAGTATAAACTTTCTACATTTGGGGGGATTTGTACTGTCCTGACATTTGGGGGGATTTGTACCGTCCTGTCATCTGGGGGGGATTTGTACCTTCCCAGTGTTTATTTTTCCTTTTTTTTTTTTTTTAAATGTTTGGTCTTATTTTCTGTGTACATAATTAAGACAAAACCCCTCTGGTGGTCAAACTCCACAAAAAGAAAGCCGTACTTGTGTGGAGAAATGTTATACATTTCATTTGTGTACAGTGTTGCATGACTGCACAATTGCCAGTTAAAGTAGTGCAGAGATGAATAGCAATAAATGGCCTGGTCATGAAGGGCAAGTGGATATCCCTTGTATAGCCATTGTTGATACGTTGTGAATCCATTGTTGATACGTTGTATATCCACTGTTGATACATTGTTTACATAACACAAATGAAAATGTTTTTATTGGCGATAAAACTTGTCAGTTATAATTTTGAAAACCACAAAAGAAAATCCCGGCAGTGGCTATAAAACTGAAATACACTCGAATATTTCTTTAGTATCGGACATGTTGCGCGGTGGGGAGGGGTCACCAATCACCCCCCCACCCCCACGGGAAACCCCCATAACCACCAGCCATTTTTTTCCCCCACCAATGAAATGGCTGTAGCTCCTCTGTAATGACATTGCGGTTGGGTTATGAGGTCGGTTTGGATGAAAATGGTGATTTCTCTTTGCATGTGGCGTTGCATTAATTCCCCGCACCTACATAAAGCTGTCCGCCATTCCTCCCGGCTATAAATCCTCGTTTTTGAACATCGTAGATCACATTTCGGCTCGCCGCTGTTACTTCTGATCCTGTCAGAACAAGATGTACATTTAACAAAGTGACCACAAGTGGCTTGTATATCGCAGAGCGCTTCAAACGTTCCCCAACAAGAAACTGAATCATTTTCTCCAAGTAGCAAAATCGGGGGGACCCCACATTCACTATATCCGCTCTCCCCCAGGACCCCGCATTCACTATATCCGCTCTCCCCGGACCCCGCATTTCACTATATCCGCTCTCCCCGGGCCCCGCATTCACTATATCCGCTCTCCCCGGTCCCCACATTCACTATATCCGCTCTCCCGGACCCCGCATTCACCATATCCGCTCTCCCCGGACCCCGCATTCACTTATATATCCGCTCTCCCCGGACCCCGCATTCACTATATCCTCACTCTCCCCGGACCCCGCATTCACTATATCCGCTCTCCCCGGACCCCGCATTCACTATATTCCGCTCTCCCCGAACCCCGCATTCACTATATCCGCTCATCCCCTAGGACCCCGCATTCACTATATCCGCTCTCCCCCGGGCCCCCCATTCACTATATCCGCTCTCCCCGGACCCCGCATTCACTATATCCGCTCTCCACCGGTTCCCCACATTCACTATATCCGCTCTCACCCGGACCCCGCATTCACTATATCCAGCTCTCTCCCCGGACCCAGCATTTCACTATATCTGCTCTCCCCGGACCCCGCATTCACTATATCCGCTCTCCCCGAACCCCGCATTCACTATATCCACTCTCCCCGGACCCATGCATTCACCATATATCCGAAAACCGCTCTCCCCCCGGACCCCGCATTCACTATTTCCGCTCTCCCCGGACCCCGCATTCACTATATCCACTCTCCCCGGACCCTGCATTCACTATTATCCACTCTCCCCAGTCACCACATTCACTATATCCACGCTCTCCCCGGACCCTGCATTCACTATATATCCCACCGCTACTCCCCGGACCCCGCATTCACTATATCCGCTCTCCCCCGGAGTCCCCACATTCACTATATCCGCTCTCCCCAGACCCCGCATTCACTATATCCGCTCTCCCCGGACCCGCATTCACTATTTCCGCTCTCCCCAATTCAACCCCGCATTCCACTATATCCGCTCTCCCCCTCTCCGGGCCCCGCATATCACTATATATCCGCTCTCCCCGGTCCCCCACATTCACTATATCCGCTCTCCCCCAGGACCCCGCATTCACTATATCCGCTCTCCCTCGGACCCCACATTCACTATATCCCCTCTCCGACCCCGGCATTCACTATATCCGCCCCGGACCCCCGCATTCACTATATCCCCTCTCCCCGGACCCTGCATTCACTATATCCGCTCTCCCCCGGGTCACCCGCATTTACTATATCCGCTCTCCCCGGACCCGGCATTCACTATATCCGCTCTCCCCGTACTCCTCCGCATTCACTATATCCCTCTCCCCCGAGACCCCCGCATTCACTCCATATCCACTCTCCCCCGGACCCCGCATTCACTATATCCGCTCTCCCCCGGACCCCGCATTCACCATATCCGCTCTCCCCCGGACCCCGTATTCACTATATCCGCTCTCCCCGGACCCCGCATTCCACTATATCCGCTCTCCCCGAACCCCGCGCATTCACTATATCCGCTCTCCCCCCCCGGACCCCGCATTCACTATATCCCTCTCCCCGAACCCCGCATTCACTATATCTGCTCTCCCCGGACCCCCCCGTTCACTATATCCGCTCCTCCCCAGACCCCGCATTCACTATATCCGCTGTCGCCGGACCCTCCGCATTCACTAAAATTCGCTGTCGCTGGACCCCCATTCACTATATCCGCTGTTCGCCGGACCCCGCATTCACTATATCCCGCTGTCGCCGGGGACCCCGCATTCACTATAACCGGCTCTCCCCCGAACCCCGCATTCACATATCCCCGCTCTCCCCGGACCCGGCATTCACTATATCCACTCTCTCCGTACCCCGCATTCACTATATCCGCTCTCCCCCGGACCTCGCATTCACTATATCCGCTCTCCTCCGGACCCCGCATTGTCACTATATCCGCTCTCCCCCGGACCCCGCATTCACCATATCCGCTCTCATCCCGGACCCTGCATTCACTATATCCGCTCTCGTCCTGGGATCCCGCATTCAGTATATCCGCTCTCCCCGGACCCTGCATTCACTATATCCTCCTCCCCCGGACCCCGCATTCACCATATCCGCCTCTCCCCGGACCCCGCATTCACCATAATCCGCTCTCCCCCCATAACCCCGCGGACCCCCCCCGCATTCACTATATCCGCTCTCCCCCAGACCACGCATTCACTATAACGGCTCTCCCCCAGACCCCCCCATTCACTATACTCCGCTCTCTCTGGACCCCGCATTCACTATCCCCGCTCCTCCCCCGGACCCCCCATTCACTATATCCCCCCATCTCCCCCCCCGGACCCCGCATTCACTATATCCCCTCTCCCCGGACCCCCCCATTCACTATATCCGCTCCTCCCCGGACCCCGCATTCACTATAATCATCCGCTCTCCCCGGACCCCGCATTCACTATATCCGCTCTCCCCCCCCGGACCCCACATTCACTATATCCGCTCTCCCCCCCCCCCCCCGCATTCACCATATCCCTCTCTCCCCGGACCCCGCATTCACTATATCCCCTCTCCCGGCACCCCGCATTCACCATATCCGCTCTCCCCGGACCCCCGCATTCACTATATCCACTCTCCCCGGACCCCGCATTCACTATATCCTGGTCTCCCCAGACCCCGCATTCACTATATCCGCTCCCCTGGACCCCGCATTCACTATATCCGCTCTCCCCGGACCCCGCATTCACTATATCCGCTCTCCCCGGACCCCTCATTCACTATATCCCCTCCTCCCCGGACCCTGCATTCACTATATCCTGCTTCTCCTCCCCCGGACCCCGCATTCACTATATCCACTCCCCCGCTCCCGCGCATTCACTATATCCGCTCTCCCCGGACCCCGCATTCACCATATATCCGCTCTCCCCGGACCCCCCATATTCACTATATCCGCTCTCCCCGGACCCCCGCATTCACTATATCCCGCTCTCCCCCCCGAACCCCGCATTCACTATATCCGCTCTCCCCGGACCCCGCATTCACTATATCCCGCTCTCCTCCCCGAACCCCCCCGCATTCACTATATCTGCTCTCCCCCCGGACCCCGCATTCACTATATCCGCTCTCCCCAGACCCCGCATTCACTATATCCGCTGTCCCCCGGACCCCGCATTCACTAAATTCGCTGTCGCTGGACCCCGCATTCACTATATCCCTGTCGCCGGACTCCGCATTCACTATATCCCGCTCGCCCACCGGACCCCGCATTCACTATAACCGCTCTCCCCGAACCCCGCATTCACTATATCCGCTCTCCCCCCGGACCCGGCATTCACTATTATCCACTCTCTCCCGTACCCCGCATTCACTATATCCGCTCTCCCCGGACCTCGCATTCACTATATCCGCTCTCCCCTACGGACCCCGCATTCACTATATCCGCTCTCTCCGGACCCCGCATTCACCATATCCGCTCTCCCCGGACCCTGCATTCACTATAATCCGCTCTCTTCGGATCCCGCATTCAGTATATCCGCTCTCCCCGGACCCTGCATTTCACTATATCTCTCTCCCCGGACCCCGCATTCACCATATCCGCTCTCCCCGGACCCCGCATTCACCATATCCGCTCTCCCCCCCCGGACCCCGCATTCACTATATCCGCTCCCTCCCCAGACCACGCATTCACTATAACGGCTCTCCCCAGAACCCCCGCATTCACTATATCCGCTCTCTCTGGACCCCCCGCATTCACTATATCCCGCTCTCCCCGGACCCCCGCATTCACTATATCCGCTCTCCCCGACCCCGACCCCGCATTCACTATATCCGCTCTCCCCCGGACCCCGCATTCACTATATCCGCTCTCCCCCGGACCCCGCATTCACTATACCCCGCTCTCCCCGACCCCCATTCACTATATCCGCTCTCCCCGGACCCCACATTCACTATATCCGCTCTCCCCCGGACCCCGCCGCATTCACCATATCCGCTCTCCCCGGACCCCCGCATTCACTATATCCGCTCTCCCCGGACCCCCCTGCATTCACCATATCCGCTCTCCCCCGGACCCCGCATTCACTATATCCACTCTCCCCCGGACCCCCCGCATTCACTATATCTGGTCTCCCCAGACCCCGCATTCACTATATCCGCTCCCCTGGACCCCGCATTCACTATATCCGCTCTCCCCGGACCCCGCATTCACCTATATCCGCTCTCCCCGGACCCCTCATTCACTATATCCGCTCTCCCCCGGACCCTGCATTCACTATATCTGCTCTCCCCGGACCCCGCATTCACTATATCCACTCTCCCCGGACCGCGCATTCACTATATCCGCTCTCCCACAGTCAGGGCTATCGTTAGAAACCATGGGGCCCTATACAGAAAACCTGACAGGGCCCCCCCCCCCCAAAAAAAAGCTTACTATGCTTTAGTTATAAATGAACACAGTGAGTGATTAGTACGATCCCTCATTGTATTCATTCAGGACAGGAAGGAGCTAGTAAACATGACATATTTACTGGTCCATTCCCCCACTCTCCATTCTGAAGGATCCTATTGTGTGCTTGCAGTCGCCTGTGGAAAGGAGAGGAGAGAGGTAAGTTGTAAAGCAATCAGACAATCCTCGCAGGATGGATCAGATCTGTGGATTGGGGAGGATAATGGATCAGAGTCTGATCCATTATGCTCAATCCGCAGATCCGATCCATCCTGCGGGGATCGTCGGCTTGCTTTACAACTTACCTTTTTCGTGGTGTCCAGTGTCACCCCCCGTGTGGTAGGTGTCACCCGGTGCGGCGCGCCCCCCCCCCCCCGCACTGCCTAGGGACGCCACTGTGTAATAATATTATTATATAAACCGTATAAAAAAAAGAAGTCATAAGAATGAAGCGATCAATCAGTCCCAGGAAAGCGATGAAGGGGGCGTGGCCACAGAAACGCATTAGCCGTATTACACTGTTCCAGCTGCAGTCGGCGTTCCTGTTCTGTGGATATCCCATAAATCTGGTCTGGCCGGGTCAGGTTTACCCTGGATGTGGATTCTGCACGTGATTGGCCGATTGCCCAGGCCCGGTTATGAGGGAGGGTCTGCGTTTGATGAATCTGGAGAGAATCCCTTTAAAGTTTCGGGATTTGGCCTGGCTCTCGTTCCATGGCAGACTCTATGTGAAGGGCAACCTGAAGCATCGCTCTGCGGAGAACCGTGGTTGTCCAAGAGTGGAGTGCGGTGGGGTGGAGGAGACGATGGACCATTTCTTGCTGCAGTGCCCCTCAATATAGAAGTCTACAAGCGGGTGGGTGGGGCTCTGGGGAATCCCTTTCCTTTCCCGCTTGAGTTACGCGGAGTGGTCTTACGGAGCCTTTCAGACTCACTGGGATTTTGATTTTGAGACATTTTTTTCTAGTTAGCTTAGTAGTCCGTTACTACACGTGGAATGCACGGTGTCAGGTTTCCTCCTGTCGAGGTGGTGGTGAACAACATTCTGGGTGAGGTTGGGAAGATTCGGGGTCTTGAGAAGGACAGGTGGCGGCCGGGAACCTGGACAAAGGCGTGGAGGAATGTCAGGTCCCCGTAGCTGCTGTCTGTCCGTCTCTGAGGGCGTGGCTTCTCTTTCTGTCCTCTCACGTCCCCTAAATTTTGTAAGATCAGATTTTTAAAAAATAAATTTTTAAATATGATTGGTTCTGTTTTGCGGGGTTTTTCCAGCAAAAACACGTTTTTGTTAAATATTATATATATATATAAAATTAATTTTTTTTATGTTTTGTTTATTCTGTATATATTGAAAATATGTTTTTATTATGTTGTTTGTAAGATTTTAAATAAACAAAAATGTACAAGTGATTTAAACGCTTCTTATAATAAACTATTCACAATATAAAGATAATATTAATATTAAAAAATATGATTGGTTCTGTTTTGGGGGGTTTTCTCCAGCAAAAAAGCGTTTTTGTTTATATTTTATATATATATATATATTTATTTATAGGTTTTTTTTTTTTTTCTGTATATATGTAAATATGTGTGTTTTATTATGTTGTTTGTTTGTAAGATTTTTAATAAACAAAAATTTACAAGTGATTGGCTCTTTAAACGCTTCTTATAATAAACTATTCACAATATAAAGATAATATTAAATTAAAATATGATTGGTTCTGTTTTGGGGGGTTTTCCGGCAAAAAAGTGTTTTTGTTTAATTTTATATTTGTGTGTAGAGAAAAAAAAACCCAAAAACAGAACCAATCATATTTTAATATTATTATCTTTATATTGTGAATAGTTTATTATAAGAAGCGTTTTAAAAGAGCCAATCATGTGTACATTTTTGATTATTAAAAATCTTACAAACAAGGAACATAATAAAAAAACATATTTACATATATACAGTATAAAATATATATATATATATATATATATATATAGATATATAAATATATATCTATATATATATATATATATATATAGATATATATTTATATTTATTTTTTTTTTTGGTAATTTATTTATACTGTATATATGTAAATATGTTTTTTATTATGTTGCTTGTTTGTAACATTTTTAATAATCAAAAATGTACACATGATTGGCTCTTTAAACGCTTCTTATAATAAACTATTCACAATATAAGTATAATATTAAAATATGATTGGTTCTGTTTTGGGGTGTTTTTCCGGCAAAAAAGTTTTGTTTTGTTTTATATATTTATATATATATATATTATATATTTTTTTTTTTTTTTTATTTATTTTTTTTATATTGTTTATTTTTTATTTATACTGTATATATGTAAATATGTTTTTTTATTATGTTGCTTGTTTGTAAGATTTTTAATAATCAAAAATGTACACATGATTGGCTCTTTTAAAACGCTTCTTATAATAAACTATTCACAATATAAAGATAATAATATTAAAATATGATTGGTTCTGTTTTGGGGGGGTTTTCGGCAAAAAAAAAAGTGTTTTTGGTTAATTTTATATATGTATATATATATATTTTTTTTTATTTCATTTTTTTTTATTTATTCTGTATATATGTAAATATGTTTTTTATTTTGTTGTTTGTAAGATTTTTCCTAAACAAAAAAGTGATTGGCTGTTTAACCGCTCCTTATAATAAGCTATTCAGGAGGACGCGGTGCCCCGCCCTTTCTTCTCTCCTCTATACACAAAGTTGTAAGAATCTCCACAGATGACTTCTATTTACAATATCTGACTTACCACAAAGGATCCTGAACTCGTTCCATTGTGTCATCATCTCCAAACAAAGCATTCCAGGGGAAGTGAAGTGTCAGCGCTCAGAGCCAGGCAGCTGCAGCAAAAGCCATCAGAATCCCGGATTGTCTGAACAGAGCAATGATACAAAAATGATCTGATAATTACAATCAGCATTCTTGACATTGAGCATCACTTAGGCTATGTTTACGCTTGCAGTTGGGAGGTGATAAAAGCACTCAGCTGAACCGTGTCTTTACAGCCCCCAACCACCAGTTAAAGCGGTTGTAAAGGCTCAAGGTTTTTAACCTTCATGCATGAAAGCCAAAATTCTGTGTGTAGCTCCCCCCCCCCCAATACTTACCTGAGCCTCGTCTCGCTCCAGTGATGTGCATGAGAGCCTCAGCTGTCCCGAGTCTCTCCCTGCCCATTGGCTGAGACAGCATCTGGAGGCATTGGCTCACGCTACTGTCAATCACAGCCAATGAGGATAGAGCAGGGCCCTCCTAACCAGTGGCGTCCCTAAGGGGGTGCGGGCCGCACCAGGTGCCACCATCACAGGGGGTGCAGGATGCCGACACAGTGACAGTTGCCCCCACCCCGTGTAGCGGTAAAATAAGTATCCCCTTTAGGCCTGGTAGGACTTTTAAAGGGAAGCCCACCTCCCAAAAAATATGGAGGGGAAATTGCGTGGGGTTCCCCCCAAAAGTCATATACCAGGTCCTTTAGGTCTGGTAGGAATGTTAGGAAGGACCCAACAGTACATTTTTTTTTTTTCAAGTGCATGGGGTTCCCCCTGAAAGCCTTACCAGGCCCTTTAGGCCTGGTAGGACTTTTAAAGGTAACCCCACCTCCTGAAAAATGGGGGGGAAATTGCGTGGGGTTCCCCCTAAAAGTCATGCCAGGCCCTTTAGGTCTGGTAGGAAGGTTAGGAAGGACCCAACAATACATTTTTTAAGTGCGTGGGGTTCCCCCTGAAAACCTTACCAGGCCCTTTAAGTCTGGAAGGAAGGACCCAACAATACATTTTTTTTTTAAGTGGGTGGGGTTCCCCCTGAAAGTCATACTAGGTCCTTTAGGTCTGGTAGGAAGATTAGGAAGAACCCAACAGTAAATTGTTTTGTTTTTTTTAAGTGCGTGAGGTTCCCCCTGAAAGCCCTACCAGGCCCTTTAGGTCTGGTAGGACTTTTAAGGGGAACCCCAACTCCCAAAAAAAATGGGGGAGAAATTGCATGGGGTTCCCCCTAAAAGTCTTACCAAGCCCTTTAGGTATGGTAGGAATGTTAGGACCCAACCATGGGTGGACTGACCATTTGGAAACTCGGGCACTGCCCGAGGGCCCAGGATCAGTAGGGGGCCCCATGAGATGCCCCTGGTACCTTTTTCATAGTCTTTTTTGAGTTTGGGCAAGGTCACAGGGGCCCCATGATCCCCTATTGCCCGGGGGCCCCATGTGTTGTCAGTCCGCCCCTGGACCCAACAGTACATTTTTTTTTTTCAAGTGCATGGGGTTCCCCCTGAAAGCCTTACCAGGCCCTTTAGGTCTGCTAGGAAGGACCCAACAGTATTTTGTTTTTTTTTAAGTGCGTGGGATTCCCCCTGAAAGCCATACCAGGCCCTGTAGGACTGGTAGGACTTTTAAGGGGAACCCCACCTCCCAAAAAATGGGGGGGGAATTGCGTGGGGTTCCCCCTGAAAGTCATTCCAGGCCCTTTAAGTCTGGTAGGAAGGTTAGGAAGGACCCAACAGTAATTTTTTTTTTTTTTTTTTTGGTTTTTGTAGTGCGTTAGGACTTTTAAGGAGAACCCCACCTCCTGCGGGGGGGTTCCCCCTGAAAGTCATTCCAGGCCCTTTAGGTCTGGTAGGAAGGTTAGCAAGGATCCAACAGTACTTTTTTTTTTTTTTAAGTACGTGGGGTTCCCCCTGAAAGCCATACCAAGCTCTTTAGGCTTGGTAGGTCTTATAAGGGGAACCCCACCCCGAAATATTTTGAGGAAAAAAGTGTAGGGTTCCCCCTAAATTCCTGCTAGACCCTTGATCCGAGCACAGGAAAGGGGAAAGGGGGGGGGGGAAACGAGCTAGATTCTGAATGCTCCAGGTTTAGTAAATCCCCCCCCCCCCCCCCGGTGTGA